CAGAAAGTGGCAAGAAAGATGGGATAAGTGTGTATGAAATGAGGGGGAGTATTTTGAGGGGGATTGATGGCAATGTGTCTTTCACTGTAATAATTATTTCATTTAAACATTCTCCGTATTGTTTGATCATGCCTCATATAAGAGAGTACGAGAATTATGATGCATGTCATCATTTACATCAAAGAAACATGGCAAAGGGTGGTGGAATTATGGAGCTATAACATTGGGAATTACTGCTGAGATAAGTAAAGTATACTTTAACATCTACTGGTACAGCCTATCTTGCTGGTTGAAAATCCTTATAGTTAAGATCTTATTAAACTCTTGTGAGTTCATCGACTGGAAACATCACCCTAATATGATGTTGTAGCCAAAATGGATGTGAAACTTGACATCAGGGAGGATATTAGAAACAAAACAGATAAATTTTTGAATCATCATTTAAGGATTTTCTGTCCATACCTGATATAGTTGGTATAGTTGACTTTCCCAGAAAGATGGGGGGAGAAAGCTCAAGAAAAACACAACTGAAATTGTTGCTGAAATTTAATAATTGATTAAAAAGATGGAGATACTTTAGTCTGATAAGAGAAGAGGAAATGGATCCTAAGTGACTTGTACAAAATAATTAATAACGTGGACAAGGTGATTTTACAAAAGGACACCGTATATTAAAACACAAGCACAAGCAGCTGTCTTTGAAAATTCAGGGTGATAAATATCGAGGATTAAGGGAAAGTGCCAATGCACAGAGGGGATGCATTTTGAGAACACTTATAATTTGTATATAGGGAACAGAAGGATTCATGAGTAATTTGAACACTCACACAAGAAAGGGACTCAGCACTGAAAAGAAAATTCATGGATATAATAGGATCAGTATGTGTTTCCCCTGGCATATATTTCAGAATGACAGAGGACCCTGGTCTGGGTGAATTTAATTAGTGAATTAGAGGTTTCTTTGTTCCAAATAAATTCATGTACTCTACCAAACACTGGCTAACGTTGCTGCACAGAGTTAGAATCTTAATATTTATATTGCCTGCAAATCAACGAGGAAGAGACTTTGGATCTGCTAAGATTCCAAATGTGTTGTGAAGTTTGTCACTGAGACACCTTCACGCCTGAGTATTTAGCACAATGAGCACTGTGGCTTCTTCATAAATCGTGATGCATTGCTAAGTGGCTGCTTGGTGGCCTCATTTGTAAACAAACCCTTTAGTGACAGATCAGAAATGTCACAAATTGGATTTTTAGGGCATTGGTATTGGCTAGTGTACATTGGGCAGGTGTATATTCAGGATTCTCATTCCAAAGTAAACTTCATAAAATAAAACATATCTCCTGAGTACTGGGAAACTGATACCCCAGCCACGGCATGTGCAGCAGTGGCATTGTTTGGTAAGT